ATTTGTTCTTTTGCGCAGAGATTTTCATTTAACATAAAACACTTTTGAATTCAAATTACTTTAAATCTCTGCATGGAAGCCAATAATATTTAAAAGGTTGTTAAAGCAAAAACTTGAAAAGGGAAAAGACTTCAAGCAAATTTTTTCTTCATTCTTTTTTTTTTCTCAACAAAACAGCCTAGTTTTTATCTTTGTTTTTCAAAACGTTGCACCAAATTAACTTATCATTAATAATTTAAATTATTATTTTATCAAAAATTTAATATTATTAATTTTACTAAGTATATTAAAATATATATTAATTTGTTTTTATTAACTTTTTTTCTAATAGTTAATCAATGCTAATAGAAACGAGCAACTTTTTTGCTTCAATTTTTTTAAGCGTATGCTAAACGTAGGAAAATATACTTCGATATATTAAACCAAATTTTCTTTGTTTCACTTTTTATTGGAAAACAATTCGAATAAAAAAATTGAATGAAAACAATTTAAAAATCATTTGAATGAAAAACTTAATTATACTTAAACTTTTATTAGTCCTCTAGTTTAAGAAAGGATAAATTGTAAAAAACATATCTAATTTTTTTTTATATCTTTTTTTTTTCTTTGATCTTACTCGTTTGGTCTATAGATTATAGACTCGTTGTCTATAGATTATAGACTCGTTGTCTATAGATTATAGACTCGTTGTCTATAGATTATAGACTCGTTGTCTATAGATTATAGACTCGTTGTCTATAGGTTATAGACTCGTTGTCTATAGATTATAGACTTGTTGTCTATAGATTATAGACTCGTTGTCTATAGATTATAGACTTGTGGTCTATAGATTATAGACTCGTTTGGTCTATAGATTATAGACTTGCATGTTTTTGCACAAATATTAAGATTTATGATGATAATTTTTTAATTTATTTATTATAATAATTTTGTTTATTTGCTTCGTTTAATTTTAAACGCGTCATGAAGTTGTTTTACATTAACACAAGCTCTTTATAGTTTTATAACAACATTGCAGTTTGTTTTATCGTTGTTTTATAGCTTTTTACAAAAACAATTAAATACTCTTTAAAAATAACACATGTTTTATCATCAGCAGGAACGAATTAAATTGTTTTCTATAAATAATTAAAGTGATTTAAAAATTGTAATGTTTACTTTTTACTCTTAGTTTTTTACTTTTACTTTTTTAAGTATCATGTTAAATAAAAACCAATACTGAAAATTTTTTTAGTAATTGTTTTTACTTTAGGTTGGGCAAAAAAAATTTTTTTGTGATCAGATTTATTTGCGTTAATTTGAGCCCTGACATACATACATAAATTTATTTTTTCAAAACATGCGAATTAATGATAATTTAATATGAAATGATTGTAAACTGTTATCCATGGATACAAAATAGTTAATTTTTGACAACTTAGTTTGTTATATTTATTTACTAATAAAAAAGCGTATAAACTTTAAGAAATTAAAATAAAAGGAACTAAAAAAGCCTATTCTATCAGATTATTTATTATATTTCAGCAAAACCTAAAATTTCTTTTCAAAACTTTTAAAAATATTTTTAATATGCAAAGAAACCCTATTTCACTTTAAAAAACAGAAGAAATATTTTTAAAAAAGCACACTATTGAAGAAAGCAATCATCATATTTAAATATGGATTATTTTAAAGTAATTGCAGATGCATTCATTTTAAGTAAAATTTTACATGCTTTTGTAAACTTTTGTAAACGCATGCAAAAACCATGCTAAAACATAACTACTTTCTTCAGTATACTTTTTTATTTTAATTAAAAGTAATTGAAGTAAGTAATCATGTTTTAGCATGATTTCTTTTAAAGCCTTTGAAAATGTGTTTTAAATTTTAGTAACTTATTGTTTTTTTATTATAAAGATGTGTTTTTACAATAAATAAAAAATGATCAATCACTTAATTATTTGGAAAAAAATTGCTGAAGTAATGGGTTTGTTTGGAAAAATTTTAGGTGAAAGCCAACATTTGCGTAAGCAATAGTAAAGAAACATGGTGTCTTTTTTTAACAAACCTTTGCATGTTAGCTGATTTTTTGCCGCCTGATGTGTATATATATATATATATATATATATATATATATATATATATATATATATATATATATATATATATATATATATATATATATATATATATATATATATATATATATATATATATATATATATATAAGTACTGGTCAAAATTATAGCACAAATGTAAAATAAAAATTAAATGGAGGGTTGAATGAAAAATTATATAGATATTTTTCTTATCTGAAGAATAACATTTTACTTTTTACAAAAATGAATGAAAATTGAAATTACATTTAAAGCTAATGTGTTATAAAGTTCACTTAGGAATAATACAGAAAAATAAGCTGGTCAAAATTATAACACATAGTATTAATTTCAGATAAAAAAAAAATTAGGACTTGATGTAATATGAAATAATGTTGGATCTTTTCAGGGTTGGCATTAAAAAACCCGTCCAAAAAAACCCGCCCAATAAAACCCCCCTAAAAAAACCCAATAAAACCCGGGGAAATCTGGGTTTTATTGGGTCTTTTTAAGGTATTTAATAAGTTTATGAACTATTTTAACCAACTTTAACATTATAACTATAATATTATTAACTAAAATAATTATTAACTATTATTATCAACTAAATTATTATTAACTATTATTATTAACTATTATAACCAACAATAACAGCTATCAGAGCAGGTTTACTAATATTTGAATCATTATTTGGAAATACATTATTACAATTTTTATGCAAATATTTTTATCGATTGAGATTTTTTAATCTTTTATGTTATTCACCTCCTAAGGTGAATGAGTAGTAGTGGCCAGAGAAGCCCACTAGTCGAGGAGGCTACGTTATTGTGGTTTCAACTCTCTCTCTCAACTCCTAAACTCCTAAACACAAATCTTTATAAACAAGGCCGCTGTGTGGAGAAACAAGTTTGTTCATTTGAATTTCAATTTCAAAGTTTAATTGAAACTTCAGTTACTACCTCCCATTCTCTAGCCTTCTTTTTCCTATTTCTCATTGACATTTTTAATTATATAGATTAATACTTTAAATTTAAAATAAATCAATACATATAGATTTAATGTGAAAATTTTTTTCTTACAGTTTTAAATTATAATTAAAAATCTTTTTCAAAATAATTTGAAAAATTCTTGTTATAAATTATTAAATAACAATATATAAAATATATTTTAAATAAAGTTAAAGTAGAAAATGAAACTAATTTTCAATATCATTACACAAAAAAACAAAAAAATTTTTAGAGACGAAATAAAAATAAAACCCAAAAAAACCCAAATTTACCCAATAAAACCCAAAATTACCCAAAAAAACCCACTGGGCTGGGTTTTTTTAAAAAAACCCGGGTTTTTGCCAACCCTGGATCTTTTAGCTCTAAAAATTTGAGAAATACAATATGGAACAGAGTTTACCAATTTAATGCAAAAATCAATTGAAGTCTTGTCCCAAATGTCTTAAATTGCATCCTTTAGGTCATTTGTGCGGCTTATGTTGTAATTTTGGAGTTTTTGGTCAATAATTGACCGAAGATTTTTGATCGGATTTGCATCTAGTGAAGTGGGTGGCCATTCAAGGATCTAGTGAAGTGGGTGGCCATTCAAGGAGTCAAATATTCATCATTGCAAACCATTCCAGAGTTTTTTTGCTTTGTGACACAGTGCGTTGTCTTGCATAAAATAACAATCATCAGCTTTAGAATCAAAAAGAGTGTTAATATAGTCAGGAAATTCAGCAATAACTTCTAAATAAAAAGAAGCATTCAAACGACCTTTGTAAAACTTCAACAAACCTATTCTATTTGCAGAAAATTATCCCCACACAGAAATAGTTCCACCACCACCTTATACTCTTGTTGTAAAATTAAATAGTAAATCTTTTTCATTAGGAAGACGACATACAAACTTACCATTCTTTCTATTTATGACTTCAAAATGTGATTCTTTGCTAAATACCACATGATGCTATTGATTCCGAGTCCGATTAACATGGTTTTTACACCAAGTCTCTTCTTTTTCTGAACCTTATTTTGATAACAACGTAATTTCTGAGTGTAAATTTTCAACTCTTTTTCTAACAAACAATGACAAGCTGTTCTTGCACTAATGGTTTTCTCTCTTGCAGCATTTAACTTCATAGCAAATTTTCTACTTGAATCAGTATGATTTTTTTTAGCAAGAGTCACTATATAGCGGTCTTTTGTAGAATTAGTGCACCTACGACATCCTTGACCTGGTCGATTTTTAATTGGTAAACTCAATTTAATTTTATCAGCAATATTATAGACAAATTTTCTGGAAGTTTTATCACATTTAGCGATATCAGCAATATTAAATTGCTGTTGAATTAAGTTTTTTACAAGTTGCCGCCGCTCAGAGCCCACTGCTTTGCAACCATTGCATAAATTTTGTTTTAATTTTAAAATTACTGAAAAAATTATTTTATGCTAATTTGATTTTAGTAGATAACTAAAATAAAATCATACACAACAATTTATCAATGCATTTAATCAATCACTGTCAAAATTATGTACAAACATGAGTGTACTATAAAATTGACCAATATTTTTTGTATATGTTTGTAAATTTGTTTATTTCTAAGATTAATAATGAACAAAATTTTTAATTTTATGTGCACATTTTAAATGACTAGTGTAAACACATTTCAAAAATACAGTACATCTCAACAATATGATTAACGCATACAAAAATTTTACATGACAATCTAAATCTAATAGGCTGTGCTATAATTTTGACCAGTACTATGTGTGTATATATATATATATATATATATATATATATATATATATATATATATATATATATATATATATATATATATATATATATATATATATATATATATATACATAGTTAAATATATTTATATAGAGACATTTAAAATATATTGAGATTCAATTATTATTGATTTACCTATATTTCGTTGCCAATGATTGAACCAATTGCCATAAATATGCTGCCATACAGATCTTTAGAATAAAAAAAATATCACAAACAGAAGAAATAGGTTGACACAAAACAGCGAAAAAAACAGAAGCATTCGTATATCAACTGACTACTAACCAACCAATAATTAACTAGGGAGAGAAGTTTGATAAAGAAAGCCTTAGGCTTAGACCCAATGATTGATTGATACACCTTATTTATACACATTATGAACTTACTTGCACAGCTGATGCAGCAGCACTCTGCGTATATTTTAAAGTAAGTCAATTTAATTGCACTCTTTGATATGACAAAATTGTTCAACAACTATTTATCTACTGATGCTTTAACTTGCCAACTATTTATCTCTTGATGCTCTTACTTGATGCTCTAACTTGTGTTGAGTTGCAAGGGAGTTGCTGCTACATCAACTGAGAGGTTGAGGCAGCGATAAGTTTTTTTATTATTGTTTATTTTTTTCCTTCTTTTTGAAGGGAAAAAAAACCGTATGGAATTAGGTTGCAAAAAAAAAGTTGGTAAATGTATATCTATATACACTAAATTTCTCTCATAAATTGCACAAAGTTTTTAACAGGAGTACTATTAACTCAAATTAATTGTGTTTGTTGTTGTGCAATTAATTTTCATTTGTGCAACAAAAGCTCAATTAAAAACTAGATGCCGATTAAGTAAGCATTTAATTTTGATTCATTTCATAAGTTATGACATCATTAATATAAAGTTTATATTTAACAAAAAGGAGATTTTTTTTATATAACTGTATACAGAATATTTTTTAATGGAATATAAAGATTCCAAGAAATCTGTAATAAAGCTTAGCCGCATTTGTACAGTTAAAATGTTATTTTTAGTCATACTTGGCTAAAAATTAGTTATGGCTTATGGCTTCTTCTCTCATGATACTCCCTGATTCAGTTATGGCTTTTATCAGATTTTCAAAGAAGCTAAACTTTTCACATGTTTGCACACATTTTTTTAATACAGACTCTGCTTGTTTAATAAAAATCTTTTTTAGCCTTAGCTAAATTTGAAAATTTTTTTAAAACAGTTTTATGGTGATTTTTTTGGTAAACTTGCTACACAGCATAGACTTCAACAATTCCACATCTCGTATCTTTGAGAAAAGATTCAGAATAGATCTGCAAAAAAGCAGATGATTGAAAAAACATCTGATAATTTTAATTAATTAAATAATAACAAAATATGTGAATAAAAAATAAAAATATAACAAAATAAAAATGTGGTTACTGCATTGAATAAGAATTCCAACATATATGTATGTACACAGTTATGTGCCCTTCTACCTATAAATGGCAGTTGGCACGAGGTCTCTCAACTGTGGTAAAAGCGACCCATTTAAGAGAAGGAAAAGTCAGTCGAAAACCCATTTAATTAAGAGTTAAAGTAAAAGGTGTTTATAAACTTGTATTTTTCTGCATAACAGATAAACCCAAGGAAAGGCAGAAAAAATGCTTCATGTCTTTAACTTACTTAAAACTACTCCTATTACATTTGTTGTTGTTTTTATTATAAATCAAATTATGGCTTATAAAAAATATTATGGCTAATAAAAAAATTAATACAGCGGCCTTTTTTACCTGTTTTTCTGATAGTTTTCATCTTCAGGATTAACAACACTGATTGGTTGAAACCATTTACTTGTTAATGCTTTAAAGTAAAATACTTATTATGTTAAATTGTTTCAAATAATTGTAATTTAAAAATATGTTGTTTCAAATACAACAATTATTTAAACTAAACTGTTATATAATATTTATGCTATGTTTATTTAAACCTTATACTATTTATATTAAATTTTTTGCTATTACTTATTTTCTATATGTTAATTATTGCTTTATACAGGTTTATACTTCAAATTTTAAAATTTAAAAAACCTCTATTTATAATAGATTTATTGAAACTCTGAGCTAAATGAAAATCTTCATCGTGTTTTGAGCATAGAAACCAGACTAGCTCACTGTTAAACAATATCTTTTCCACATAAACAGATGAAAATATTCGTGAAATCAAAACATATGCGTAATAAGCTAGTGCAGGAGAAAATGTCTCATAAACAGCTTCATAGCGCTCATCAAAAATAGTTTTATCCTGTAAATTATCTGATGCAGAAACAAAACTTAACTTTGACTTGTTGAAACTTTCAATCTTGTTTTTATCATTATTAAACTGATCATTTTCATTAAATGATAATGATTTAGTTTTGTTTTGATTTTTTCTTTTGATTACTTTTTTCTGATTAGAATCAGTTTCCAAATAATATATACCATCAAAGCAAGAAAAAAATTGCTGCAGAAGAGGAACCATTAAAGCTTGTGCTAATTCTCTATTAATTTTCTGACAAAGAATACCTAATATATCAATAAGTTTTCGAGATAAGTACACCTTGGTCATACTTCCTGATACAAAAATATTTAGTGAAGACAGTAAACGAATTAGCGGTTGAAAAACATGATCAGCTAAAGTCTAAATAAATAAATGCTGTGGTTAAAATTAAAAGACAATAATTTTTTATTCATAAAATAGGTTGGGTTTATACCTCAAAATGTGAAACAACACTTTCTGGACTTAAAACCTTGCATGATTCTACCATCAATTGGATACTGCAGACAAGATTACTGCCTATAGACAATGATATTGTGGCACTATTTAATGCAGTTTGGATCTAGAAAAAAAAACTGCATTAAACCTAGATGTTTTTGCAAGAAAAATAATAAAAGTATAAATTAAAACAGTAATCAAAAATAGTAATGACAAATTCAAATAAATTGTAATTTTAAAAAAACTGTCAAAAATATTTGAAAATAACAGCAATTCAAAAACAACATTAAAAAAATATTTACCAATTTAGTTAAACTAAAAATATATAAACTTGTGATTAGATTTTCACCATAAACTACAACAACCTCAACTAAACAATCAAGAATAGGAGATATTTTTTGAATAAATTTATCTATAGGATCTGTAGTGTCATCTAACTCCAACTGCATTCTAAACAACTTTTTCAATAGAGGACTAGCTATATACTCTATCGATAGAACAGGGCCTAACCAAGGAATAAGCCAAAAAAAGCTTTCAACAACAGTTTCTGTAAAGGTAAGTTTGTTAATTGACTTGATGCTGCACTTGTCGTAATGATAATTCAAATTATCAATTGATTCATCTTTTTCTAATTGACACAACTGAAAAGATGATGATTCATTTTCTTGTATTGTGTCACTAAAAGACAAAGAAAAACTTTTTTGTGATTCAGAGATGGCATTTTCATAGAGAGTGGTATTATTATTTGGCACTGTATCTGTTTGAACTTCATTTGTAAATACTGATGTAGCCAAGTCAGTATTTTGAACCAGGTTTGTTTCTACGTCTATTATGCTACTATGACCTCTTGTTAAATGTTTTTCTTGTAAACTAACAACTTGATTATATTCATTATTCAAATCAAAACATTCAGATTTACTTTGTTTTACTTCTTCTTTGAAATTGGAAAAAAATTTGTTTTCTGAAAAAAACCCGTCAGAATCATCAACATTTTTTACTATATCTTCATTAAAAAACATTCCTAGGTTTAAACTAAATATTGAGTCTGTTTCACCAAAATAACATGGAGAAACTTCATAATTCTCAAATAATTCACTTTTAAAAGATGATTGTGTGAATGATTCTATTTTTGCATCCTTAATCACTAAAAGATCAAGAAGTGTGTTCATTAAAAGCTCTAAGAAGCATTGTTGTCCAAAAGAATCTAGTATTTTTGATAAAAAACTTTGCTGAACAAGTGATACATCTTCAGACATCTTCATATTTTCATATATCCTCTGAAGATCTCTTATGAAAAGGTTCTTTGATTTTGTAGGACCTAAAGCTTTTGATAAAGAAGGAAATATGTATAGGAACATAGGTATTTGAAGTTGCTTTTGATGAAATAATGGAAAAATATAACCAACTAGAATATCTAAACCTTCTGGATCAAGAACATTGAGCAATTCAACTAATTGTGTATTGTAACATTCTAATTTTAAACATAAATTAGCTTTATCATCTCTTGTGACACAGTCATCAATAAAATTGTAAAATTCAAATAAAAATTTGTGTAAACCTTTGAAATAACTAGGAAAGGAAAAAATGCCTAATAAAGAACTCATAACAGAGCAGCTCGTCATTGGCATATTTGGATAAATGCAATCTTTTATAGCTAACTTCATCCAGCTGAAAAACAAAAAAAAATTATATACATAACAAAAACAGATGTATCAAAAAAAAAAAAAAAAAAAAATTATACAATGTTAACAATATCGAATAATAAAAATTAACAAGTTATTAAATTGCCGATCTCAGACACTGTCAGGTCGGCAGTTAGATTTCCGAGGGCTGAAAATGTTTTATAATAGTATCAATAGTAGTTAACAAAAAATTAACAAGTTATAAGATTGAAAATAAAGTAATGAAAAAAAAAAAAAAACTAAAACTTGCCATGAGCTGAGTTTAAACACAACTTTATTTCATCATGAACTGTGTTTCAGTATTAAAAGATTAAAACCCCCAAAAGTTAAAATCAATTACATTTTTTTATCGATCAATAAAGCATATAATAAAAAAACTTTTTAACAAAAAAAAAATGTTCAAAATCAGCTCCACAAAAAAAACTTCATTTTAAAATTAAACTTTTCCGAGCAAAAGCAAATTAAACTTTTCTGAGCAAAAGCAAAAAATATAATAAATTACAGCTACACAACAATAATTTACACCATAGCAATACAATAACAATTTTTATAGCATAGCAACAACAATTTAGTATAGCAACACAAAAACAAATTTTTACAGCATACCCACACAACAACAATTTTTTACATTACAACAACAATTTTTTACAACATAATTTTTATATTATTACAGCATAATAATTTAGAAATTCACAATAATAATTTAGAAAGCAACGACAATCTAACTATTTATTATTGTAAAAAAATGAAATTATTATGAAATAAAATATAGAAACGCTTTTTACAGTATACCCACACAACAACAATTTTATATATATATATATACATATATATATATATATATATATATATATAATATATATATATATATATATATATATATATATATATATATATATATATATATATATATATATATATATATATATATATATATTTGAATATAGAAAACACTTCAAGTATTGGACATTTAAAACAGCAAATGTTAAAACATCACAAAATTGTAAGAGCTCACATTGATAAAGTATTATCGAATGGCGAAAAAGGAAAAAAAATTCAGGTTTTAAGCCTACTTTACACGATACCTATGTTGATGAACTTGTAAAATGGGTAGTTATGACTAAGCAACTTTAAAGTGCTCCTTTGTGATTAATATTTTAGGTCACTTCTAATGATATTCTGTTTGCCATACTTCAAGCCACTCAGCAAGATCTTGACAGTAGTATGGTTTTCTTTAAGGTGCATAGAGTAAACCATCTGAATGGATGGGTTGCAGTGAAGCAACACAGCTTGTAGACTTCAGGATGAACTATCTATAAATAGGTACAATTGACTAGGGTTACATCTCATACCAGCAAATTTGAAAAAATCAGCAACATTGTTGCAGAAGCACAGCTTACCTTTATGACTAAAGAAAATAAAAAAATGTTTAGTGTTGTTTTCTCTGATCTTACCAGTCTTGATCTAAAAAATTTCATTACTTGAGCCAGAATATTAGAAGCTCACCATTTGACTTAGTAAGAGTTAGGTTTCTAATTATATAGTTGACATATCTTTGATAATGGAACTATAGCATTCTTAACTGCACCTGCAAAACTGTGATTTGTATTTCTAATATCTTCTTTGCTGTAGGAGTTACTATTTTCTCCTGAATATAGCTAATTTTTAAGGGAAGTGGAAACAAGGAGAAGCAGTGTGGTACTGGAACAATCTACGAAGAAATATTTTCATCAATCATGCAGAAGTAGGATCAATCATGCAGAAGTAGCAGTTAGGTGGTCCACCAGTTGTTGGATAGCAAACTTTATGGCTCTTTTTTCTTCAGGTATTTACTTGTAACATAGCACATATAATTAATGATATAAATTGGAGGACAAGAAATCGCACACCACCTAATTCAGATTATTAGGTGGTGTGAGATTTCTTAACATATATTCTCTTATAGTAATCTTAAAGTATGTACACTTCAAACTTTGCCAATAGTAACTTCCTCAAATCAATTACATAAGAGCTTAACAAATCAACAAATGTACAATTGTATTTATTATTGCAAGAAATTGATGTAAAAAGGTGCTGTCAGATGCTAAGCTCCATTATTCTAATGCTAATGGTGCATTAGACAGAAATGGAGAGGCTAAACCTATTGCTCTTAACATATCTAAGGCTTTTAACAAATTTTGGCACGCTGATCTTCTCCATAAGCTTGTTTCATATGGTGTATCTGGAAATTTTTTGAGATTATCAAATCGTTTCTTTTTAACTGCTTTATTAAAGTCATCTTTGAAGGCCAACACTCTTCTTTAATTCCAGTAACTTCTGGGGTGCCTCAAGGTTCTATCCTTGGTCCTATTTTGTTTCTTATCTACATCAATGATCTTCCTGACAACCTTACATCTAAAGTAGCTCTTTTTGTTGATGACTCAACTTTATACTCATGTCTTGACAAAAAGTCTTCTCTTTTCGATCGCTTAGAACAGACAGCCAATCTTGAATCTGATCTCACTTCTGTAACTGATTGGGGCTCCCAGTGGCTTGTAAATTTTAACTCCAACAAAAACTCATTTATTTATTGTAAACAACTAGTACTGTTGACATTCCTATATTGTACGCAGTACTGTTGACATTCCAATATTGATGAATGGTAACCCTCTCACTTAGTCTTCTTTACGCCTTCTTGGATTATCATTTATTACTGACCTATTATAGATATATATATATACAATCAATTGCTAAATTAGCATCTGCATAGGTTGCTTCACTTTATCATGTTTGCTATTTTCTCTCTCCTGATTTCATTCTTTATCTCTACAAATCGCTTATTTGTTCCTGTGTGTAATACTGTTATCATGTTTGGGCTGGTTCTTCTAATGATGCTCTTTCTCTTCTAGACAAGGTCCAAAAACGCATTGTAAACGTAGTTGGATCCAGTCTATCTACTAAACTTGAGCCTCTTTCCCATTGTCCTAAAGTTGCATTTTTTCTCTTTTCTACAAATATCACAGCCGCTGCTCAAAGGAGCTTTCATTTCTAGTTTCATCAACCAAAACTCATTATCGCTTGACTCGTCATTTATCAAAGTCTCATTTCTTTACTATATATGTCCCTGCATTCTCCAAAAAAGCTTTTTCCCCCACACTTTAACCCTTTGGAACTCTCTCCCATCTTCATATTTTCCTGACTCATACAACCTTCAAAGTCTTCTGTCAACCGTTTCCTTGCTCTATAATTCTATCATTTTTTTCTAATAACTCCAAACTTAATAGTGGTTGCTTGTAACCTCCCAACTTTGTTAGGAGTGAATCTGAATAATAATAATAATAAAATTGTTTGTTAAAAAAAGACTGAGAACAAATGCCACAATTTTTTACTTTTACATATTCAAATGTTGAAGTTTGCAGATGTATATATATATATATATATATATATATATATATATATATATATATATATATATATATATATATATATATATATATATATATATATATATATATATATATATATATATATATATATATATTGTGTCCACAAATAACAATTGCTGAACCAGCAATTGTTATTTGTGGACACAAATTAAGAGTTGAAAAATATTTATTAAGAACTGCAAATGACAATATAATTTCTTTACAAATAGATTGACATCAAATTGGAACTAACTTCCAAAATTAATTGTATCAGCCAAGAATCTTATTGATTTTAAAAGAAAATACGATAAGTAAATGATGAAAAACATTAAAAAGCTAAAAACCTTATCATGAATTTTATGAATTATATCATGAAAATTATTGCAAAACGAAATTGCTAAAGTGATGTAATAGTTTGTATATATATATATATATATATATATATATATATATATATATATATATATATATATATAAATATATAAATATATATATATATATATATATATATATATATATATATATATATATATATATATATATATATATATATATATATATATATATATATATATATATATGATTTATTTACTGAGCTTAATTAATGTTTTAAAATTTTACTAAACCTATTAAATTAACTATTTTAAAATAAATCCTTTCTGGTTCTACATTTTTTGCCTAGTGTTGGAATCATAATTCCAAATACTTGAAACACCAATTGTGTAGCTTTCTGTAGCACTTTTTTCAAGTGTTTCAATATTGTATTGATAATGCAGATTCAAAATTTGAATAGAATAGTCAAGATGTGGTCTGATTTATCTTTTGTAAATTTGAATAGAAAACTCAAAATGAGGTCTAATGTATCTTTTGCAGCAAACTTTTTTGTGTTTTTTTGTCAATGTTATTAAATGTGTTTCATATAACATGTGATACTTTGTAGTCTTTACAATTCTTTAGTCAAAATTTGAATTTATTTTTCCACAATGCATTACTTCACATTCAGCCCTCCGAATTAGGGTCGGCAATTGGCAATGCCAACCTCACCTCCAACCTAGAGGTGTTTGAGGTCAGCAAAATATCTGCGACCTTATTTTTATGTTTTATAGTGAAACCTTTGTTTCACAATTTTTCTGCAAACTTGATGCTGACCTCAAACAGATTGAGGTCAGGAAATTATTGCTAACCTTATATTTCCTAATTCCATAATATATCATTGACACTGTAGTAGATACAATAGTGTCAATGATATATTAAAATATAATAAAATATTGCAATTATCATAGAATACAACAAAATTAAAACATCATAGATATCAGACAATAGTAATGTGTAATATTAGACATAAAATTTAATTTCTATTAATTACTATCATATATATCACAATGTCTAATATTATTCATCACAAATGTTTGATGCCACATTGTGTCTAATATCACAGATCACAAATCTTTGATATCATATCATGATATCAAAGACTTTGATATCATATCATGTCTTTGATATCATATCATGTCATAAATCACAAATGCCTGATGTCATACAGCATAAATGTCTGATGACATAAATGTCAGACATTAAAAATGTCTGATATCACATATCAAAAATGTCTAATATCACGCATCACAAATGTCTGATGCAATGCATCATTAATGTCTGACGCCACACATCACAAATGTAACCCTCTGAATTAGGAAAAATGAGGCTTTTTTCTCTTAAACTGGCAAAAAGAATTTGACACAAAGGGGTTACCACAAAACATAGAAACGAGGCCAACAACTTTTTACCGACCTTAAACACTTTTAGGTTGGCATTTAGGCCAACCCTAATTCCAAGGGCTGCTAATACTAAATGTCATACATCACAAATGTCCAATATCACACATTAAAAAAGCCTATAAACTTTAAAAAATAATAGTCATAAATGTGATCAACAATTACTAACTATACAAAGTGATCAACAATTATGAACTTTACAAAGTGATCAACAATTATGAACTTTACAAAGTGATCAACAATTATGAACTTTACAAAGTGATCAACAATTATAAACTTTACAAAGTGATCAACAATTTTGAACTTTACAAAGTGATCAACAATTACGCTCTTTTTTTTTTTTTTTTTTTTAACATCTTTGCTTTCAACAAGGCTGCAAACAACCACTAATTAGTGTTGGAAGTTACTGGAAGAGAAAAGATGAAGATTGTAGAGCATGACAACGATTGACAGACAACTTAAAAGATAGCAAGGTATATGAATCAGGAAAGCAAGATGAAGGAAGCGAATTCCAAAGAACTGATGTTCAAGGAAAAAAACTAGACGAATAAGAGTTTTTGAAGCACTTAGGAACAGTAACAGAAAAAGGATGAGACTTAATTGAATGACAAGTAACACGAGAATGAATTTTAGTAGATGGCACAAGAGACACTAGCTCTTTAGAGCAGCGCACATGAAGGTAAATGATTCGGGTTATCTGGAAAGCAAGTTGGAAAGTTGACTATTTGAGTTAGGGATTGAGAGAGGCAAAAGTTGTGGGCCTTAATGCCTGCAGAGTCACTAACACTAGAGCCAAGCAATTCAGTGTGATGAACATTGAAGTCACCGACAACAACAATATTGGCTGATGGGTAAAGAGAGAGAGCTTGGTCAATATGATCAGAAATAACATCAAGAAGAGTGCAGTCTTGAGATGAAGGAGAGCGATATAGAACAAAGAGAAAGGTGATAGAGTGAAGTGGTGCTAAACAAAAGCACATAAAAGAGTAGTCTGTGGATTCAAACCTAGTTTCCCAACAAATGGGTGAATTCTTACGAATGTAAATGCACAGGCCAAGCATGTGACTATTGGAGTCTTTACGAATTAAACGAAGATAACCATCAACACTAAGATCACAAGATGAGACAGCTGAACTCAAATTAGTCTCACAAAGAGCAAGTAGGTTTTTTTTATTTTTATTTTAATTCACCTCTTCAAGGCTGAGAAGGCCACTACAGACGAGGAGGCTAACTTGTATATATAACTTGTAGAGGTCTGGTGAACTTTGCAAGATATAAGATTCAACAGAAGAAAAGTTACTTCGAAGACCACGAATGATAGATTTAGCGAACTTGGTGATGACTGTGGTTTTTTGTGTTTTATAATTTTTGTTACTTTATTCATTTTTAGATTTGTTAAAGAACTTGACTCGAAACATAGATAGCACTCAGTACACTGTTTTATAGCCCCAGCAATTGCCTCATTGCCATTAATAAACCCTAAGCCGTAACAAAGGGCTCCAATGTGGCTTTGGCTATGCACACCAAAAAAAAAAACAGGGACACCATTCATGCGCAACATGGCACTGTTGATCACTTTACAAAGTGATCAACAATTACTGACTTCACAAAGTGATCAACGATTACTGACTTCACAAAGTGATCAACAATTACTGACTTCACAAAGTGATCGACAATTACGAACTTTACAAAGTGATCAACAAATACTGATTTTACAAAGTGATCAACAGTTATGAACTTTACAAAGTGATCAACAATTATGAACTTTACAAAGTGATTAACAATTATTGACTTTACAAAGTGATCAACAATTTTGAACTTTACAAAGTGATCAACAAATACTGAATTTACAAAGTGATCAACAACTATGAACTTTACAAAGTGATCAATAATTATGAACTTTACAAAGTGATCAACAATTACTGACTTTACAAAGTGATCAACAATTACTGACTTTACAAAGTGATCAACAAATACTGACTTTACAAAGTGATCGACAATTACGAACTTTACAAAGTGATCAACAATTACTGACTTTACAAAGTGATCAACAAATACTGACTTTACAAAGTGATCAACAATTACGAACTTTACAAAGTGATCAACAAATACTGACTTAACAAAGTGATCGACAATTACGAACTTTACAAAGGGATCAACAAATACTGACTTTACAAAGTGACCAACAATTATGAACTTTACAAAGTGATCGACAATTACGAACTTTACATAGTGATCAACAAATACTGACTTTACAAAGTGATCAACAATTATGAACTTTACAAAGTGATCAACAATTATGAACTTTACAAAGTGATCAACCTTTTGTCATTACTTTAATTTTGCCATTACTCTTGAAATTTATTATAAGAAATCTTATTTTTTAAAGATAAAAAATACATTTAAAACCTCATTAAAAAACCTTAAACATTTTTTAGCTTTACTTTGCAATGCGATTTGATGCCTTCAAAAAACAAAGGTCTTCTTTTAATCGATTGTCAAGAGTTGGGATAACAGTTCTTGTTTTTAGTTCTTTGTATAAGAGTGTCTCAATAACCAGACAAAGGAAAAGCTTTTCATCTTCTTCAAGATTTGATTGGTCAATATCCAGATTGCTAAAGTTTTCATCTGGCTAAAATTATATAATACTTTGGTTTAAAGTACCATTTCATAAAAGATAATATGATGATAATAAAAGATATCAAAAAAATTAAAAAAACAAAAACAGAACTATAATAATAAAAAGACATTATGGAAACTATTTTTAATTGATACCATTTTTGTTATAAACATTTGGTGAAAAACTACACTCATTTATAAAGTAAATTTAATTTTTATTCTATTTTTGAGACTTGATAGTAAAAAGAAGTTTTATTTCGACGACAAGCAAAAGAGTGGAACCAACAGACAATAAGGCATATTATGAAACCTTATTACCATTGAGTTCAAAACAAGTTTATTCACATTTATTAAAAAGGAAACAACTGTAATATCCACTCCTTATGTGTTACAATACAGTTTCAATATATTGATTTTATGTCTTTCAGTTGAAAATTTATTTATATGTCGTTATCTCAGTAAGAGATTTTTGTAGTAATTTCTTTCTGTTGAGTGTACCTGATTAAGAATGTAGCTGATTAAGTAATAACATTCAGTTTGCTACAATATTGAATTTTTTACTTGAATAGCAGTGTAATTATATCACTAAATATTATATAAACTTAGCTAACTTGAATAGAACCCCTTATTGAAAAAAAATATTGCTTAAATAATTCATGTTTCAAATTTAAATAAAAAATAAGTTTTATATGCAAGAGATTTATCAAAACCTTTAAACAAACTTTAAAAACAATTGAATTTAAAGACAGGTAAATTAAAACAGAAACAGCAAAAAAGTAAAAAAATATATATTTAAGCACCAGTACCATTATGGTACTATTGTAGCAAACATTATCACAATTTTCCACTTAATATCGTAATTTAATAAATGTATAACTTTTTTAAATACCTAAAACATTAACATTAAACCATTAAACATAGGATTTTGTAAACTATGTAATAAAATCATCTTAAATAGAGTTTATGTAGGAGTCTTTAAAACAATTTGAATAATTTTAAATTTAGCAGGTAAATAAAAAATAAAAAGGTTTATCTGACATTTAAAGAGAAATATAAGGCCATGGCTTACGCCCACAAATTTTGAATTGATGACTGTCGATAAAAATACTATATATTGTATGGAAAGTTTTTGCATATTCAAGTTTTAAAATAATTTAATATTTTAAAACTAAAAATTTTTAGTTTTAAAATAATTTTATTCATCTAACTTTATATCATAATTTTTATCATTAAATTATTTTATATGTGTAAATTTTAAATAAACTTATAGCGATTTAAAATTGCTTAAATACGATAATTAAGGCTTTAAAATATTGTCAGTGGTAAGTAATAGTATATATAATATAATATAAGTTTCGCTCTTTTTGGATGAAAAGTTACTTTATTATTTAAAGTATTTGAGATTGGCAAAAAACTGCAGTCCTTGTTTTTATGCTTTATGTTACTGGTGTCAAATTTTTTTTGCCAAAATATTTATTAAATATGTAAATATATATTTAATAAATATTTCTATTTAACAAATCTACCAAATCTACCACATTTCACTTTACAAAAAAAATCTTTGCTCACTATTTCAAATAATATTATTTAATTGCAATGTGAAGACTAACATAAAAATGTAAAAAGTTATATAGATTGACATCATTTATCAATGCATTTTAAGGTGCAGAAAGTCATACTAGCAAATATATCACAAAATCAATTAAAAAAATAGTATGTGATGTTCGACCTATGAAAGCTCTGGGTATATACTTTTGATAATGCAGACAATATCATAAGAGCATGGCATCAAAAGTTGAAGATTTTCCTCACATTTACCCTTATGGATGCCTGACCCATACACAAATTTGATTTTGATTGATGCAAGTAATTTTAAATCAACAGCAGCTTCCCAATAAAATTGCACGATGGTGGTAAAAGCAATAAAGAACTCACAAATTTTATAGGCTTTGTTAAAACAACACCAGCAGAAATTAGGACAGGCCAATTACTAAAACTAGATGAAACTAAATCATTTGCTTAGCCTATTCAAAACATACTGTTATCAGAAGTCTTCTAGGATAAAGTGGACGTGTTTATTATGTTATTAAAACCTATAGCCATAGCAATTGCAGTAGTTGAAGGAGATCTGAATCAAAGTCTCTCCAATGTCGCTAAAACTTTTTCGATATAGAAAAACCTTTTCAGAGCAATATTCTTTGCAACCCAATGCTAAAACCAAGGAAAATATCTCTGGAGATAAAGGAGTAAGTTCTTCATTATTTAGTCTTTATTTGAATGTTTTTTTATACTGAAAAAAAACAAAAAACTTTTTGAAAGTTTTATTATTTAATTTTTAACATTTAAAATGAATTATTACTTGATTACTTTCGATTACATTATCTGTTTTAGATTAATGCTATCGAAACCTTTTATAATTTAGGAAAAATGAATCCTGGGATTAAGGAATGTGACCACAAAATTTTGGGTAAGATTGCTGATAATAGCAGTGGCGTGCTGGCCCCAGAGGCTATGCGGGAATCCTGCTTGGGCCTATTGCTATTTTTATACCCTTTACTGCATTCTGAAAATGATTCACAAATGATATTTATTTGCTTTATCTTTTATTCCATATGTTGAATTCTTTAACAAAACTCTGATTCGAACTTTTGGACTTTAAGTGCATATATATTAGTATTTTACATAATAAAATGCAACCGTTTGTAACTTTTGTCTCAAAACAAAGTCAATATTGGAAAAAATAATTGATTGGTACGTCACTTAAATCGCTTACTATATTAGTTGTTATATAGATAAAATTATTTAAGATAGCCAATGATTATTATGAGAAATAATTGTGTTCAATTTTAAATTACGGAAAAATATTCATATTGATAAAATTTTTGTTATATTAGAACGATTAATTGCTTTTTCATAAACAAAAATTGTAATGATTTTAAATATAAAAAACTGTGTGAGTTTTTATCAAGTTGATCTTATTGTATGTTCTACAGATATTTAAAAAATAGTTAAATATTTTTTCTGTGTATACGAATAAATAAACAAAGCATTTTATTCCTATTTGAAAGTATTCCGGATTCATTTATTTCAGGGACCGCAAATACGTTAAAACTAATATTTAACATTATAAACTTTAGTAACCGCTTTTTAAGTTGTAAAATCCGAGCTTGTTATAATTATAGCTTCTTTTTTTTTTTTTTTTAATTTGACATAGAATGGAAAATCTTTAAAATTGTATACATTCAATTTAAACTTCAAGTTGATAAGACCGTAAAAGCCTCTTTGGAACACATAAAAAAAAAATTTGTTGTACTGTTGTTTTTGTAACGCTAATTAACACTTCCTCTTTGTACTAACGCTTGTACTTTATAAAAAACTTTTCATCACATTGTTTATATAACATAAAATACAATAATTCTTGTATATGTAATAACGCTAAAACAAAAATATCTAATAAACATATATATATATATATATATATATATATATATATATATATATATATATATATATATATATATATATATATATATATATATATATATATATATATATATATATATATATATATATATATATATTTAGTAAGATAATATAATAATATATAGCTGGATAGCTCAGTTGGTTAGAGAGTCGAACAAAATGTTTAAACCCAGACTGTTGTTAGATAAGAGTTCAGATCCTGCCACTGCCAAATTAGCGCTTGAGTAGTGCTTGGGTACATAAAAATGTTGGTCAATAAGGGATGCTAATTTGAATTAGTCTTAATGACTATTTGAGGCTGTTCCTATGCTAAGCCAACAATATCTTCGGATATAAGAACATTGTATAGAAAAATATATCATAAAAATTAAAAATAAAAATATATATATATATATATATATATATATATATACTTTTTAAACTTTAACGTTAATGTTTTTTAAATAATAAAATAGTAATCCTATTTGGTTACCTTAAAAAAGCGGTGAAATTTGTTTATTTTTAGGAATGAAAATATAAAACTTACCACAGCACAATAAAACGTGCTTGCCACAGCATGGTGCCATTTTTAATTCTAAGGAAATTCAATTATAACTCGTTGCTTTAGTATGTTGATTTAGCTGGATGAGGTCAGTTTTTTATTGATATATTTATATATATATATAATATATATAATATATATATATATATATATATATATATATATATATATATATATATATATATATATTATATATATATATATATATATATATATATATATATATATATATATATATACAAATACACATGCGGGCCTTCAATTCAAGCATATTTGGTGAAACCCCACATATATGGGCCTTTTTGAAAAAATCCAGCATGTGCTTTTTGGAGCCAGCACGCCCCTGGATAATAGATCTAAAGTAGGACTTTTTTTTAAAACCTTTTATATGATTTTTTCAATAACCATATAAAAGGTTTTAATAAAAATATCATCTTTTGTAAAACAAACATCTCCTTCAAGTGGGTGGACGGGAATATGATGTTAATTGCTCAAATACTGCCAAGTAGTAAAATTTCCACTAACAAGTGCAGCATCAAAAGATCCACAATTACGGTAATTAAAGCAAACTAAAAAATAGTTTAAAAAATGACAGCATCAAAATTACTTTTTATCTCTCATAATTTAGAACTTAAAAATCAAAAATGTGATAAAGAATCATCAGCAACTCAAAGTCAAACCCAAGAACTTAATCTAAGCAATTTTACTGTACAAGGTTTAGAGGAATATCAAGTGAAGTTGACGAATCTATATTTGACTTCTCAATTGATAACCTTACTAAACAGGAAATTCAAGATACATATTGTCTAAAAAATAACTATTTAAAAGTTGCTATTGACTGTTAAGATAATGTTAAATTATATGTAACATATAATCATCTTTAACATTTTTGCAAAAAAAACTAAAGATTAAAAAAAAAAAGTTCTCTATCTTTTTATATAATTGCGCATATAATTATGCTATAGTAGTGTATATATATATATATATAT